AAAAAAAAAAGAAAACAGGGAAATAAATTAAAGATCCGTTCACAATTTAATAAAAATGTGATACATGAGAGACGTTTTTTACACGCCCTCCTCAAGTTGGGCACAGGTGAGAATCGCACATGCCTAACTTGAACACTTGTTTTTGAAAAGTTGAAACTCCCAACGACTTTGTGAGGAGATCTGCCACCTGATCGTGAGAATAAACATGGCTCCGGTAACTGCATACCTCTTTCACCTTGTTTCTGACTATATGGCAATCGATATCTAGATGTTTTGTCCGTTCGTGGAAGAAAGGGTTCTCTGCAATGTGTATAGTTTATTGGTTATCGTACCATAAAACGATAGGAGTTTGGTTGGGCATAAAAAAAATCGACTCTTATGTTTCAAATCCATTGTAGCTCGCATACTGTGCTTGCTAGTGCTCTGTACTCTGCTTCCACAGATGACCTAGAGACTGTGCTTTGCTTTTTTGTTTTCTATGAAATAAGTGAAGTTCTAAGGAAAATGCCGTAGCCTATGACTGACTTTCTTGTATCTGGACAAGTCCCCAATCCACATCACAATATCCAATTAAATTAAAAGTTGACTTTGTTGAGTGCAACAAACCCAATGGTGGAGCCCCTTTTAGGTATACCACTATGTGTACAACTGCATCCCAATGAACATGTGTAGGTTGTCCACGAATTGGCTGAGCTGTTGTACTGCAAATGTTATGTCTGGCCTTGTGAAATTTAGGTATAGCAGTTGTCCTATCAATTTCTTGAACTTCTTAGGTTCATCTAGTGCTCACCTTCTTCAGCACTTAATTTGATTGATGCAGGCAATGGTGTTAAGGCTGGTTCGCAAGTTTTAAGTCTTGTTCTGTCTAGGATGTCCAACACATAGTTTCTCTAGTTAAGATAAATGCCTTGTTCATTCCTTGGAATTGGAAGTACCTTGCATATCCTAGGTCCTTGAGGGTGAAAGTCCTGTCTAAAAAGGACTTGAGAGCTTTCAAATCTTTTGGATGTGTTCCTGTGATGAGAACATCATCCATATATACTAATAGTGCCAAAAACCCACTCTCATTGGTTTTTGTAAAAAGGCAATGATCACAAGATGACTATGTCAGTCCATAATTGATCAACTTCTTGCAAAGTTCTGGGTTCCACTCCCTAGATGCTTGTTTTAGCCCATATAGGCTTTTCTTCAGGAGGCATACACTATCTGGATTTCTTTTTGTATAGCCATTAGGGAGTGACATATAGACTTTTTCTGTCAAACTTTCATGAAGAAATGCATTGTTTATGTCTAGCTTGTGGAGTTCCCAACCTTTCATTACAACAAAAGCAAACATCGTCCTCACTATCACAATCATGGCCACATGTGAGAAACTATCAGTATAGTCAATTCCTTGTATTTGGTGATAACCATTTGCAACTATACATGCTTTGAACATATCAACACTTCCATTTGGGTTCCTTTTCACTTTGAAAAAATCATTTTGATCCAATTGCCTTCTTTTCTTAAGGTAATGTTGTGGTTTCCCAAGTATTGTTAGACTCAAGAGATCCAGTTCTTTTCCCATTGTATAAACTCACCATTGATCTTTTGTTGCTTCTTTATAGTCTGATGGTTCTCTCTCCCTTTGTCTACATATTCCACTCTAAATTGTGGTGATGTTTGATAAGGGTAAGTCTTGAGTGGATGCAATATATGTATCTCCTTTAATTATAGTTTATTTACTAGTCTCACAACTTTGTCCTATTGTTGTATTGACTACAAAGTCCCTTAGCCATGAGGATTGATGACTCGTCCATGCTCTCTTTTTTAAGGCCAGTGGTGGGGACCACACTCTCTCTTTTGATGTTTCTGAAATTTGGGTTGGGCTTAGCTCCATAGAGTCCATTTGATGTTCTTGTTATGAGACTTGAGTGTCTCATGGATGAGGGCCATTTGCTAATAGAGGCACATCACTTCCTTGAGTCTTTTCCCCTGATATGG